ATAAATTTATAAAAAATATTTTAAGCTATTCTTTTAACATCAGTTATATTATTCTTTTAATACAACTGAATTTCTGATTACTTCCTAGTTACTTTTCAAAGGTGTTAAATGATTGTACTTATATTCACAGACTATTTTTTTACATATTCTTGTGATATACTTTCCTTAAACTGAGAGTTTGAATGTAACACCAATAAATATTAACCAGTTTTTCTAGCGATAGCATTTAGAATATGAATGACTTGTTAAAAACTTTCTAAAGAAACAAATATAAGGCACAAACATTGGCTGTCGCTATCACTTTACTTGAGAACAATTCAACCTTTGTCCTTTGTCTATTAAAAATAAGTGCAAGGCTAATACATGTTCCTAGAATCTTTTCCAAAGTTGTATGTAACAACTCATCTTGCAATACCATTAAACATAATAGAGTTTATAATTCTTTCAAGAGGTGAATAAGGTCAAGTCCATTTGGTTAATATTTAGAATCAAAATGACATCAAAACATACATATATGACACTATTAGGATCTGAGAAAAAAGAAATTACTTCTGAATTTAAGACGCTATAAAAAAAAGGTGATTTCATAATGAACATCAGTATATATTTATTTCAAACTTCACTCTTTGATATGTGTACTGTTTTATTTTCAAACCATTACTTATTGTTTTATTTTCAAACCGTTCATAGAAAGTAATTAAGGAGTAGATATTACTTTCATTTTCTAGGTTCAGTCCCAGGAAATGCCAATGATAGAGGGTGTCTCCTCTTTTCGTGAGCCTGCTGGCCAAGATTTTCAGTAGGATCGTGTATAGTATTATACTGATATGGGTTGCAAAGAATAACTAGGTTTTATACCCTCTTCTCAGAGTTCTGGTACTGCTTTAGGAGAAGCACTAGACCACAATGTCAGTTTGAACCATGAGTCAGAACCAACTCGGCAACACTTAACAACAACAACATACCCTCTTCTCAAAAGGAAAAAAATCAGAAATTTTAAATTTTTTCAAGTAACTTCTATTTCAGTAGGGGACCAGATTTGTATACAATTTAAGAATAATAGGCCTAGCAATGTTTTCTCTAAGTTGACTTTCATCTCTTGCAACCTTGTGCTATTCTCAGACTTATTTCTATTGACAGTTGCTGACAAATTGGAAAAAACTGAAGGTATCCCAGTGGAAAAAGTGAGACTTACCGAAAGACCTGAAAATCTGAGTTCTAACAGTGAGATTTTGGATTGGGACATATATCAATACTATAAATTTTTGGCAGAAAGAGGAGATGTTCAGATACAAGTAATATATACTGAAAATCTTGTATTTTTAGAACATGAAAATTAAAAGGGTTTTCATTTTTTCCTAGTCCTGGAGGTGTTAACAATGCCCAGTTTGGGTGGTAAAGGGAAGAGA